AGTTTCGGCGGCGGCACGATAGTCAAGCAATGGGGGGGCGTCAGGGAACTGCGCCTGCTGACGCTTCGGTGTGGGGGGGCCAACTGCCCCCTCGGAAAGAGTCTTGCGGGGGGGCTGCGTACGCGTGCGACGTGGGCATACGGGGCTTCAGCGCACAATCCCGCGGAGGTGATTTCGAGGGGAGGTGGCGCAATGCACTTGGAGCCTGCGGATGGGGGCGCGGGAGCCGGGTTAATAGGCGCCTGCAGCACTTCCATTTTGTCCCTGCTCTAGTGCTGATGAATAATGAGAATTTGCTTCTGGCTCGCTCCTGCTTGCTTGAATGAGGCCGTTGAGTGTTTTCTGGGAAGTGTGGGAAACCAAGCTGTATAACCTCTTTTCCAAGCTTTTCGTATCATATTGGGGAAAAGTAAGGCTGATGTGTCTGTTCATTGTTTTTTGATTTTTGTTTTGTTGTTTGTGCTTCTCATTCTTTTTCACTCTCGTTGTTTTGGTTTTTTATACGTCCACCACCGCATTGTTTTATGTGCTTTTGGACCGATTTTCGGTGGAGTGTGACAAGGAGGCTGTTGGAGGGACTACTGGTGTGAGTGTAATTTGTGTGAGTGTTTGTTAGCCACGCATGGCCGCTGAAAATGTTTTCTTTGGCGTCATTTACGCAAACGAGGAGCTTGTCGTGGTGAACAAACCGCACGACGTCCCTATGGATGGGGAGGAGCATTCGCTGACAGTGGAAAAGTGGGCAACTGCGTACCGCGCGAAACGCGACTGTGCCAAGTGTGTCGCTGGTGGTGGTGCAGACGGGGCTGAGCAGGCAGCGAGGACTGCGTGCAGGCACGCGGGACGAAGGAAATCGGTAAAGTTTGTGCACCAATTGGACTATGCCACAAGCGGCGTGTTGTGCGTCGCCTTCTCGAAGGAAATGGCCGCGCGACTCGCCCACTGTTTTGAAGTGCGCACGACACAAAAGGCTTATTTGGCGGTGCTTCGTGGGATGATTCCGTCACTCCGTGTCTTTCAGGAGGATCGAAACCCGTATGCTGGCGTGGATTTTCTCACTGGAACTCGCTACGGTAGCCGCGTTCACGTAGTTCCAGTTGATGAAGTGCCAAACGCTGGCTTTGTCCGCAGATGCGTTCTTGAGTGCAGCCGAAATGGAGAGGAGGAGGATGCCGATGGGTGCGCCGCGCTCCTACGCGTGGACCTTCCTGTGGGATACGACACGACCGACCCGGAGGGCTTTCGAATGGCGGTGAACGGAAGGGACGCGCGGGAGAGTGTGACGTACGTGCACGTGCTGCAACGTGGGTACATGTCCCATCCTTCCTCGGGCTGTCCGGTGCCGGTGACGAAAGTTGCTTTGTTCCCGCGAACCGGTCGGCGGCACCAACTCCGGGTGCATTGCCATGCGGTCGGCTTTCCGATTCTCGGCGATGTCACCTACGCGGGCATTCCAACTCCGCGGCCTGCTCCAGAGCGGCAGGGGACTGAGTCGATGGCAACTTCCGGGGCCGCGGGCTCAGCAGACGTGGCCGACGAAACCGGGACCACAGAGGCGTGGCAGCGGATGATGCTTCATGCATGGCGTCTCTCATTTCCCGTGAGTGTGGAGCCGCTGCAGTGTGGGAAGGAGCGTTACATGCAGAAGAGGCGGCGGAGACGTGAGACGCTAGGCTTGGCGGCCCCCAGCGGCGATGATGCTGCCGCTGCTGTGTGGACGCACTTCGAGACGAAAGACCCGTTCCATTCAGTTCGCCCTGGGCGAGTGAGTGAATAACGGGATAAGTGGGCGGTGGTGGGGCGACCGTGACCTTCACGGGCGTGATTTTTATTGCCACCCCGGCGAGAAAGTGGCATGACACACGACGCTTGTGGGCGAGGGTCTGTCGCGGAACTTTCTAACCTTCACAGAGTGACAAATACTCTGCGAACGCGCGACAAAGACGAGGAGGAGGAGGAGGAGGGAGAAAATAATTTTTAAAAAAGTTTCTCTCTCTTGTTTCATTTCCACTATCCTGTTCCTCTGTGTGTGTGCGTATTTATTATTATTATTATTATTTTGCATGCGTGTGCGTTTTTCTTTTTCACCTTTTTTGTCGTTGCCGTGGATGATGTATGCCTAAGGGAATGCTACACGAAACGTATGCCCCTGGCGACACCGCTTCCGTGGCATGGAGCCGCCAAAAAAAAGTTTCGTTTCTTCGTCTCATATCTGAGGTGCGGGATGGCGTGCGGCCACCGAGTGTTGCTCTTCTCTATGGTCCAACGGGCTGTGGCAAACTCTCCTCTGTGTGTGCCATGCTGCAAGAGCTGCGCGATGCCTTGGGCCGGCCGCTGCGGGTTGAAGTGATGCATTCCTGCGAGGCAACGCCGCAGCAGTACTACAGTTTTCTCATGGATACCTTCACCGAGCACGAAATGACGGGGGATGACGCGTGTGCGTCACATCCTGCCGCATCTTCGGTCCCTGCGGATGTCTCCGGCGGTGTGACGCACAAGGCACAGCCGCTGGCTGACGCCAAAAGCCAGCGGCAGTCACGTGTGTTGGTCCGGGTGGTGAAGTTCTACGGCGAGTCGCTCCTGTCGCCCCTGCACAGCCGTACCCTACGTTTCCTTGACCACTACGACGCATGGAGGCGCGCGGAGTCCTCGGCAAGGCGCGCTGGCGATGGTGCCGATGCGTTGGATGCCTCGCTGCTGCGACGCCACCTTGTGCTTTTCATCCTCACGACACACGACACACACAGCGACAAGGTGGCTCTGGGGAAGCTGCTGCCGTCCCGTGTTCTCACACATCCGTGCGTTTACTCCTTCCACTGCACCCCACTCACAGCCCGCAACTTGGCGGCACGCGTCAAGGATATTTTGTGCCTGGAGAGACGGCGGCAAAAGTGTGGTGTTCGACGCCGCCTTTCAGATGACGAGGTGGAGTTTCTGTGCGAGCACGCCCACGGCGATATCCGCCAGGTGTTGCTGCAGGTGCAGTGGTGCTGTCTTTCTTGGGAAAAGGGCTTGAGAGGAGCAGTGGCGGCATCGACGTCCGCCGGCGCACAGGAAAAGAAGCAGCCACAGCCGAAATCAAAGAGGCCGAGAACTGTCATGGACCTCCTTGAGGAGCATGATAATTCTCACGTGGTGGGCTCCACCCTGCAACCCTCACTGACCGTTGAAACGCCTTCCGAGGAAGGGGCGGGAACGGCGGTGCTCTTCCGGGACGAGTACCTCGATGTGGCACACGCGACTGCACGTATACTCACGAATAAATACACCATTTCTTCCGTGGTGAAGGCCCTCAATACAGAGCCTGAAAGGTTACTTAGTTACCTGACAAACAACATGCCTGTTTATTTTCGTGCGGGACAAATGCAGGAGTATGCTGCGTGCGCTGCTTCAGCAAGTGCTGCCGACGCTTTACGCGCTGCAGAATCATTTGGCAGGCGCAGGCAAGCTGGTGCAAGTCTACACACTGTAGGGCTTACCTCCGGCGATGATAGTGATAGTGGCGGAGTTATGAGGCTAGACCTCATCTCCCTGATGCTGTTTGGTAAGACATACGAGGTTTGTCACAAGGAGGTTTACATTCCACGCGCGCTTGTGGCGCAGCGCCCGCCGCCGTACCAGCCTCTGGCCTACCCGCGTCTGCGAGATGTGGAACCGGCACGAAAGCGTTTACGGAATGATGAAGGAGGATATACTGAAATTGATTTTGAGCAGCAAAAGAGAAGAGGCGAGCAGCACAGACTCTACTCGACGGAGTTGGAGTGGCACCAGGAATTTATGCGACGGCTGCAACTGTGCCCAGTGGGTGGGAGTCCCTGGCGCAGTACGGAGGTTGATATTGTGCGAGAGGCGCTTCCAGCACTTGTCAACAGGTGTGCCTCGTTGGACGCCGTGCTGCTGGAGTACGCCCCGTATGCGAGGTGCATCGTGCTCGACCGTTCCTCTCCGTCTGCCGCTCTCGGTGTCCCAGATTCCGGTGCCACTGCGTTATCGAGCAGCGCGGCGTCGCTCAGCAAGCTACCTGCGAAAATGCCCTCGAAACCTCCAGGGCCGAAGAAGACGTTGTTTTCCTTTGCGAAGCCGAAGGCCGCCTCGCCGCAGCGACGTCCCTGTTCCCTGATACGGTACAATGTGCTTTGCTGCGGCCTGAGCGAGAAGCCTCCTGTCCGGGCGGAGTACTTTTTTATCCCCCCACGCAACGCTGATGCCGGCAACAACGACGACGATCTCTTGGATGACGCGGCGACCGACCCCAACGCCCCGCAGCCGCTGCTGCCCGATGGGGAGGACATTGAGGAGTACAGCGACTGAAGCAGAGGTGCTGCCTGCCCTGTCCCCGCCCCGCCCCTGTGCATAAGAATTATGCATTTGGCTGCTTTACTGCTTCCGTTGTGTTTTATTTCCTTTTATCGTTCCCTATGTGTGTGTGTGTGTGTGTGTGTGTGCTGCATGCCTTTCTCTTTGCTGCGCGTATTCTTTTCCCCCGCACCGGGGCGGTTGTCCGCATTTTTGCATTTGTGACCTTCTCCTCAGGAAAAAAAAAGGCACCAAAACACGAACTATAAAAAAAAAAGGAACGCAAAAATAAAAAGTCTCACGGGTAGGGTAGTGCGAAGAGACAACTTCAGTGAGCCGTTAAAGGAGTAGGGCACGCAGCGAGGCACCAATATATATATATATATATATATATGTATATATCACGCACAAGACACCCGACAGGAAACCATGGACGCTTACACTTCATTGCTGAACCTGAACTTCATGTCGGCCTGGCGAACAGGCAACAGTCTTGTTGACATGGTCATCGCCATTACCATTCCTCTCCTGTCAAACTGGGTGGCGAGGTTCTTCTCCGTCACTTGGCCTGAGTTTGTGAGGAAATTTGTCGAGTGGTACCTGCCGAAAAAGGTGCAGGTAAAAATTCAGCATGGTCTGACCGACCGATACCAGCGGGCGGTGGACTTGACGGAAGGCTCGGTGCTGCAGGAGGCGGTTGAACGATACGTCAGTAATCATCTGAAGCCCTTCTACTCAAATGGGGAGTTTGTCTACAGCATGGCGTCGCCCAGCGACGGACCCGAAAGAAAGACCATGGCGCAGTTGTTGGAGGAAAACTTTGGGCTTTTCTGCCGTCCTGTGAAAGAGAGCGTTAAGCTTGGGAACGGCATTTTACTTCGCATTCGTGAGTCCGAGGATGAGGAGCCTGACAACTTGGAGGGGACCGTGGACGACGGCGGCCACAGAGGGAAGGGGGCGGAGAAGCGAACCAAGTCCAAGCTGCGGGAGATCATCTTGACAGAAGGCTCCGGAGGCCGCGGTGGAGGCGAGGAGGCGTTGTCATTTGCGCGCGCCGCGTTTGACTGGTATTTGCAGAGCTTAGAAACGGCATCGAGCAGGAAGCGCTACCTCTACCAGCCTCTCCGGGGAAAAGACTCCTTTGAAGAGGTGCACGGTGACCTGATGAAGGTCGTGCGCTACCCGTTGTACGACCTAAAATCCTTCAACTCCCTCTTCTTTCCAGAGAAGGAGAAGCTTATAGCGCTGATTGAGCAGTTTGAAAGCAAAAGCGGCAAGTTTGCCGTGCCCGGCTTTCCTCATAAACTCATATTGCTGCTGCACGGCCCACCTGGCACGGGCAAGACAAGCCTGGTCAAGGCCATAGCGCAGTACACGGGGCGTCACATTTTCTCCGTCCCACTTGCGCAGGTGCGCACCAATCAAGAACTCATCTCCTGCATGCATGACCAACTCTTTGAGGTGAGCAACGAGCGCCAGTACTGGAGGGTGTCACTGCGTCCAGAGAAGCTCATCTACCTCTTGGAAGACGCTGATGCCACCTCCGACGTTATGCTTAAAAACAAGGCGAAGGAAGCGGCGACGAAGGCACACGGCAAAAAAGCACCTCGTCTACAAATAATGGATGCACTCAATACAAAAGGGCTCTTGGAAGCCTTTGGTGGGATTGTTGATACCCCAAAGCGCATCATCGTGATGACCACAAATCATATTGACAGATTGGATAGTGCCATTATTCGCCCTGGCTTCATCACGATGCGATTGTACATGGGAAATTTCACGAATGAGTACGCGGCGCAGATGGTTAGGCATTATTATGGGCCTGAGGCAGCCACCGAGGAGCGTCTAGAGTGCCTGAAGGAGGTGTTGCAGCGGGCCAGTGAGACGGAGATTCACTTTAGCCCCTCCGAGTTGGAGCAGCTTTGTGCGGAGTATGACGACATCGAAGAGCTCATTGAGGTGCTGAAGAACGGAAGTCGAGAAGATAAGTTCTAAGTGCATACATCTACTTTCATACATGTCTGTCAAGTTGAGTTAAAAAAAGAAAAACAAGGAGGATATCGATTTCTTCGCTTCTTCCTTCTCGCACCCTGAGACTGGGGGAGTTTGCTGGACGCATGAATCGCCACACATTCACGCACACACGTATATTACTTTTTTTTTTGGTTTACCTTCTTTCCACACCTCCCCAATTGTTGCACTTTATGCCATTCTTGCCCCAATACACATGCGTGAACAGCTGAGGTGTGCGGGGAAGAAGAATAAAACAAGCGAGGATAAGATACATACACGCACACATATACATATATATATATATATATAACGAGTGAAAGAGCAAAGAAAAAAAACACATACATTTTGGCCCTAACTGCCGATATCGTGTGAGAAGACGCGATTATGGCAGCCTCAAAGACACCGGTAAACGTCCTGATATTGGTAACAGGTAGCATTGCCGCAGTAAAAGTGGGTTTGCTGCTGGATCAACTCTCTAATGAGTCGTATCAAGTTCGCATTGCCGCTACCAAATCAGCGTTTCACTTTTTGAATCGTGCACAAAAGGCGGCCCGAGAGCTTCATTTGCACCACATTCTCACAGACGAGGATGAGTGGAAGGAGTGGCAGGGTATGAATGATGCTGTTATGCATATTGAGCTGCGGAGATGGGCACACCTTGTCGTCCTCGCACCGCTGGACGCCAACACTCTTGCAAAGCTGTCACATGGTTTGTGCGACAACCTCGTCACGTGTGTGATGCGGGCGTGGGAAGTGAAGCAAAAGCCTGTGATTCTGTGTCCGGCAATGAACACCGCCATGTGGACTCACCCGGTGACGTCGCAGCAGCTGTACGCGTTGCGGGGCTGGTACTCCACGACCCCCGTCGACCTGCGATTGGACGCTGACGCGACCGACGGCGATGCCTTGGCACTCCCCAACACATTGGATGAGGCCATGTTTCAGATTGTCGGGCCCGTGAAGAAGCGTTTAGCGTGCGGTGATGTGGGGGTCGGCGGAATGGCCAGCGTGGAGGATATCGCCAAAGCTATAAGAAACACGGCGAACCTCATTCGCGCCAAGAAGGCTCATCCCACGGACAACCAGCCCAGGTGCGGGAAAACAACCCAGGGCGAACCGTCACAGACACCTGGGCGACAATGCAGCTCCGGGGAAGAACACCATCCGGAGACTTCGTAGTAGTGGAATCCTTAGGCACTTTGCTCCCTGCTGCTTGAGTTTGTCATGTCTCTCTAGCACGGAGTTGTTTGTTTTTTTGGTAAAGTCCTCTGTAATAATCTAAAGCGCAAGTATGTCGTTTTCTTACTAAAATGTTTGCTTTTCGCGTCTTCTTTCCTTCTCTGTGATGGATGTGAGCCACGTAGAAACCTGCAATATCTTACCCAAACAGAATACTTATCACGTGTCTCCATTTCGTTATATATTCGTTTGGGTCTTGTGGCCGGCGCCCTGGTTCGTTTACGGAGTACAGCTCTCTTCATTGCCGCCTCAAGGGGTACCGGGGGCAGCCTTTATTTCATTGGGCACTCCTAGAAAGTATATCTACTCTCCCACGTGGGCACGTGAGTAGGCATCATGTCAAAGCTTTACAAGTCGCAGACGCAGCAGGGCCATTCGCGGGGGTTCTTTGAGTATATTCGCAGCGTGGGGGAGTCCAAGTCCAAGCAGGAGGAAGACGTGATCGTCCGGCGTGACCTCGCTGACCTAAAAAAGGCCCTGTCCTCAAACAACATTGACAAGCGACTTCTGAAGGAGTACGTTGTGCGCGTCTTCTATGCGGAGATGCTTGGCGTCTCTGCGGAGTTTGCCCACATTCACTGCGTGAACCTTTCCTCGAGTCCTGACCTCCTTTTTAAGCGGACCGGTTACCTCGGCACGTGGCTGACGGTGGGGCCCGAGCACGAGCTCATGTACCTCATTGTTTCCAACCTGCGGCGTGACATGAAATCCAGCTCCTTCCTCGACATCGCTGCCGCACTAACGGCTGCCTCGAAGCTCGTGCGCCCCGAATTGATGAGTGCCATAAACACTGAGGTAGTGGGGCTGCTGGGTCACCCCAACGCACTGGTGAGAAAGAAGGCGGTGACCGTTATGCAAGCCTTCTACAGAAAGTCCGAGGGTCTTATTGGGGATATAAAACTCTTCCGTCAGGCATTATGCGATCGTGACCCATCCGTCATGGGGGCGGCACTTCCACTCTTTGCAGACGTCATTTCTGCGGACCCTGCTTCGCAGCGCGATCTCATTCCAACTTTCCTGTCTATTCTTAAACAGATTGGCGGGCACCGGCTGCCTCGGGAGTACGATTACCATCGCATTCCCGCTCCATGGTTTCAGATGAAAATTTTGCAGATACTTGCAATGCTTATTGGTGACAATCCATCACTTGCTTATAAGTGCGAAGAGGCCTTGACGGAAGTTATCACACGGGCGGACAATGAACTTAATATTGGTTATGCCGTCATGTGTGAAGCCATCCGCGTTATTACCCGCATTCCCACCATTCCAGCTCTTGTGGAGCTTGCGGCAGAGGCCATTGCAAAATTTCTTTCCGGAAAGAACGCTAATCTGCGCTATGTAGGTATTCAGGCCCTTTCACAGCTTGTCCGACTTGACCCAAAATACGCTCGTGAGCATCAGCAGGTTGTTATGGCTTGTCTAGAAGATGCGGATGACACAATACGTCGAAAAACCATGCTGCTTCTTCTTGCCATGTGCAATGAGGACAATGTAGACACCATTGTAACGCGACTTGTGAAGTCGCTTTCGCAGTCGACAGACAAGTATGTTAGACAAGATTTCACACGTCGCATATGCGATGCGGTGGATCGATTTAGCCCCGAGGCGGTGTGGTACATTGACACAATGAATAAATTGCTACTATGCGCTGCCGAGCATGTCCCTCAGAACACCATTCAGGGGATTTTGAAACTTGTCGTGGAAGGCGAGGGTGAGGATGGAGCAAAGGATGCGGCTTTCCGTACGTTTTGTGTTGAAACTTACTTTGACCTTCTTGAGGGGTCACAGAAAAAGTTACCGGAGGCCATCTCTCGCGTTGCCGCATGGGTGATGGGTGAGTATGGGTTTCTAACAAAGCGAATAAGCAGCACCATGTTATTAGATCGGCTGTGCGATATGCTAGAACGGGCCGAGAGCGCCGACACACGAGGATGGATTATTATGGCCATGATGAAGATTGTTGCTCACATCGGTGTCATGCCTGATAACGTTGAGGAGCTTATTGCCCGCTTCAAGGATAGCCGCAGTGTGGCGATACAGCAACGCTGCTACGAGTTCAGTGAACTTGTGAAGGTGCCGGTGTTGATGAAGAGGCTGCTGCCGCTGGACGGCTGCTGCGAGGAAATTGACGTGGATGAGTCCATGGGGTTTCTGGATGGCATTGTGCAGGAGGCCTTGTTGGCCGGCGCCAGGCCGTACGAAAAGCGGACAGTGCGCCTCGGGGTGAAGGAGGAGGAAACACTCCGCACCGACGCGTACAAGGCGTTGTGCACGGATGCCGTTGATAAAAGTAAGCTCGATCGGGAGGACTTCGAGACGGAGGATCCGCACAAACTTGTCATTCGGCCAACCGTAAGGCGGTGGGGGCTAAAAAATCTTGAGGAGAACGCAACGGCGCTGAAGGAACACCCCGCCGGCAGCCCCAAGGCGTCGACGGCAGCTGCCTCTGTGGAGCATTTTCCTGACGGACTTGTCCTGCATCACGTGGACCCGTTTGCATCTTCGCCATTGTCGTCGCCCTCACCGTCGCCCCAGCCCGCCTCACGTGAAGGTATGAAGCCAAGCAAAAATGAAAAGTTTTTAAATGACATTTTTAGCGGTGGCACAAAAAAGAAATCGACTGTGCGACGTCGGAAGGAGTCGGCGGAGTCTATGGCGCACGCTGGGAAGGTCTCTGAAGAAGCCCTTGCTGCGGGCCCCATAATTGGCATTTATATGGGGTACATCAGGGACTCGACAACAACGGGAGTTCTGCTGCGGATCACCGCGAAAGTGGAGGTGGAGAATGTTAAGGTTTCCTTCAATGCTCCACCAAACTGCACGCTCCGCACGATTTCTTGCTCCGCGGCATCCGCCACAGTGAATGGAGCCGTGACTTCGTTGGCCCAGCTGCCGGCAAATCAACCGGTTGAATTGGGTGTGCAACTGGTGCCTGTTGGATTTCCGAAGAAGGGTTGTGTAAGCGTAGATGTTGCGTACCGTAGTGACGTTCCAGACGACCCACAGCGTGTCTCGGCGTCAAGGGAGTTTGGTGCCAAAGAAGTTCTCCGTCCACCAGCGCCGATGACAACGCCGGAGTTTGGTGAAAAGTGGGTCGGACTCAGTGAGGAGTGCAAGCTGCAGATGAGCTCTGCCACTCCCTTGACGCCGCAATCGCTACAGCAGCTGCTGATGGAGCGAGCATCGCTGCGTGTGGTGGAGGTGATCCGCAGTGAAATTATTGCGGCTGCCGAGATTATTAGCACGCGGAAGCTACTCTTGTGCCATGTCGATGTCGTGGCTCCCAACGCCGCCAACGTGACGGTACGGGCAGATGACAAGGACTTCGCGGAATACGTGGCGCACACCATATCCGCAGCATAGCATTGCAGCAGGTCCCACTCCACCATTTCTCTTCTCCGGCGAAATCAGTCTGGTGGTATGTTCCTTCCATCCGGGGAGGTGGCAATAGACTGGTGAATAGTGCGATAGCGGAACTCTCGTTATTATAGCCACAGTCATGCAAAAGGGCGTGTTGGAACACTAGTCTGAATTTTACTGCGCATCTCACTGGTTAATGTGTTTCGAAGGCTTTCTCTCCATTACCGCTTTTCCAGCTGTTTGCTTCTGCATATAATTAACAGGCCTACTTGCATGCATGCTTTCATATCTGTTCCTGTATCTGTTGGGAAATGATGTCGCCCAACAGGCAATAAGAAAAATGGACAAGGAAATTATCGATGGTTATCTACATTACCTCTTTCGTCGTTGTTTTTTTTGTGTGTTTGTCTTTATCTGTTTTCGTGGGTGCTCGTCGGCCGCATTGTTATTTGTTGCGGTTTTACGTTTGCTGTTTCGCTCTCGGTTGGTGTTGGACGTGAGGGACCGAAGCGGCATGTGGACGAAGGCAGCTGTGGTTATCGCGGCAGCTAGTGGGTGCAGGAAACGAGGAAGAAGTGGTCCCCTCCCTCCCTCCCTCCCTCCCTCCTTTTTTTTTACCATCATATTGTCCGTCATGGTGTTTGCAGGCTGGGATAGTGTGCAGTATGTGACGCAATATGCACTTATTTGTGAGTAATATATTTATTTATTTATTTACGTATAGATGCATGCATGCAGCCAGGCGCCTGCACGCTTCTCCTGAGCAATTATTATGCTGTGAGCGAATGATGCGCGTTCCCCGTGTTAGCTGTTTGTTTTTCTTTATGAGAAAAGAAAAAAAGGAGGCGAATGGAAGTGCCTTTGCTGCGATAGTGGTGCTGGTTAGTCACTTACTGTCCCGTGGAATTGATCGCGGCGATGACGGGGATGTTGGGTACGGCGTTTTTCCCGGATGAAACGCTGCAGAGTATGGATGAGAACACCGCAGTGTACTGCGCCTCAAATGGCAAGGCGGGCTTGAGTCTCACTCGTGATTTGTTGACTACGCTACAAAATGCAGCGAGTGATGGGGCACCGGAGTCGCTGCGCTTTCGCGTCGATGGCTCGAATGCCTGCGGTGGTCGCTCCACAGCTTTGGAAGTGCTACAGTTATGCTGCATGCGGTGGTGGGAATGCCGGTCAGAGGTGGAGGAGGAGTTTCTGCAGGTGTGCTACTCTCTCCGCACAATTGGGGCGCTGACGGGGCCTGAAATTGGGATCGCGCCAACCGTCAAATTTCTGGCAGACCTCTTTGCTGGTGTCCCGGGCACGGTGGGTGGAAGGCGCTTGGCGGAAGCGCTGCACGTGGAGAGAAGCTGGCTGTCTCTTGCTGACTTAACTGGGTTGCCGTTGGCACAACAGCGAAAAGGAGGCGCGCCCCAACTCCTGCCGGGCATGTCTCTCCTGGAACGGACCCTGGGCTCTTTTCGCGTAGTGACAGATGAGATTTTGCCCAGTTACCTCTACTGCACGATTCAGCCATTGTTTTGTGCGATGATGCCCTCTTGGTTGCTCAATGGCATTTTTGCCGACACGCAGCTGCAGCTCATTGGCACAGAGGAAGGGATAAAAATTGCGAAGCAGCGGCTCGACTTGCATGTGTCATCGCTGCGGTTTCTCCTCGAGTTGGCGGAGGACTACGTTGGCCGTGACGACACCGCAACGGCGTTGGAACAGAAAAAGTCTCTAGAAGAAATGCTCTTGTGGCTGACAGCCATGCAGTCTACATTCACCGAAGATTGGCTCCTTGAACAAGTGACCAGTGAGTGGCCAAGCGTCATGGGGGAAGCGCGAAACATTATCGCCGGCGCAGACAGCACCTCGTTGGGTGTTCCACCGGAGCAAATCATGGAGGCCTTTGCGAAACTGTTCCAGCTACCGCCCCATCGCGTGACGGATCACATTGTGCACTGCTTTGAGCTGCCCCTGACATCCGTCTCACGCGACGATGAGGTGGGGAGGAAGATGGGGGAGGATGAGGTGCCAACGGTTGTCGCAGCCGTTGGCGTCTCCTTCGACGGCATGTCGCTTGGGGAGGTGGAGTACCTACTGCAGCCATCTGACGCGGATGAGGCATCACCGATACAGACAGGGGGGGAATCGGTTTCGGCACGAATTTACACCTATTTTTATCGTCGGTTTAAACTATTGCTACGTGCGTGCTGCCTCCAAGAAGCCCAGGTTGTAGTGATGCTATGGCCATTTTTCGACCTGCAAGCATCCCCGTTTCTTCGTTCTGTGCCTCCAGCACGGCTGGCAACGATGCTGCGGTGCCACAGTTACGCTTTCTTTGACGCGTTGGTGGTAGAACCATGGGGAATTACGGCAGCACTGGTACTAGGCGGCGGTTGGGTACGTGCGACACGAGCTCACTTTGTGCAATGGCTCTCGGAGAGACGCGGTGAAAGGGGGCAGTTGCCCATCGTCATCTTCAAACAGCTTTGGAAGGAAAACGGTAATAGTAATGCGACTAACAGCGCTCAGCAGGCGTTGTGCATTCCGCTGCTCCAGCGCATTGTCACCGGCAGCTGTAGCACTTTGGTGAACACAAAAGTGGCAGTTCTTGTCCCGGCCGGAAGCGCAACTGTTCTCTCCCGGCGATACAGTGTATTTCCGCTGCTGCGGCACCCACCGTTTCCTGGGGAAAATGGAACAATTGATGAAATACTAGGCGAGGGTACTCCCATGAATAATTGTACGATGGTAGACTCGGCGAGTCGCCCTTTACTTGCGGCACTGCTACAAGGCACTCCGATGCCAGTGCTTTCGTATTCTGTATGTGGTCCCGTACCGATTCCGTACGTCTGTGACGATTTCAACTAGAGCTGCATTTCTGCAGTGTCGAAGATGGCAGAATAACCATCAATGCGATTGGGCAAAGCTGTTTATTTGTTTACTTATTTCCTCTCTTGCTTTTACTTATGGCTAGGCTTGCATTACGGCCTTGACCGGGAGGTGGGGGATAGGGGAACTAATAATAGCAATGCTTGGGGACTCAAGGGTGGCGGTGGTTTTTTTGTTTTTGTTTTGCTTTTCTTCGAATTGCCTCATCCCACACCACACCACGATTCTCTATGCGTGCTTTTTTTGTGTGTGCGTTGTATTCTCTCTCCGTTGCCTTGCAAGCACTCACTCAAGGTTAGAGGCGCTCGGCCACAATGCCGGCAGCCCCCACTGGTCACCCTGACGCTCATGCCAGTGGAGGGGCTGGCGTGGAGGATGCAGGCGGGTTGCCCACGAAGATGGCACGAAGGCAGAGGCAGGAAGAACGGCCCTTCGTCTTTGCAAACTACCCGTCTCGAAAGGTGGCCATTCGTCTGGCGTATCACGGCCACTTGTACGATGGATTGGCAAAACAGGAAGAGACACCCAACACCGTGGAAGCGTATGTGCTGACGGCGCTCAAGCGCGTGCGACTCATTCCTCAGGATGGGCCACACGATCTTGCACGGTGTGGGCGAACAGACAAGGGCGTTAGTGCACTGGGTAACGCCTTTTCACTTACGGTTCGGGCCTCCTCATGGCCCACCGACTCTCCTCAGAAGCCACCACTTGACTACTGCGCTATGATAAACAGTGCACTACCTGTCACCATTCGAATTGTTGGTTGGGCCTATGTAGGGGAAAGTTTTGACGCCCGTTTCTCATGTGTGGGCCGAACGTACCGCTATTACTTCTGTCATCGGGGCCTCAACCTGGAGGCGATGAATAACGCCGCAGTACGGCTTAAAGGAGTGCATAACTTCCGCAATTTTTGTAAGACAGATGTCGTGAATGTGAGCAACTACGAACGTGATGTGCGCAGTGTGGGTATTGTTACTAGCGAAACACTGCCGGAGTTGGTGTCATATCTTGAGATTCATGCAAATTCGTTTCTTTACCACCAGATTCGCTGCACCATGGAGGTGCTCTTTCTTGTTGGTCGCGGCTTGGAGGAGCCGGAGGTAGTCACTCAGCTCCTTGAACGTGGAGACCGCAAACCCGTCTACCCACTTGCAGACGGTAGGCCTCTTGTGTTGTGGGATTGCCACTTTGAGGGCTTGCGGTGGAGTATTTCACAACGAGCATTTATGGTCGTAGAGCAGGAGCTGCTGGACATCGCGACGGCGTTGCTGCTGCGATCATCTGTAGCGGACTCCATGCGCTCGCAGTTGTTCGCCTGGTACGGCGGGGATACAGACGCGGAGGGCAAGATGATTGCGGCACAACCGTCGGGGGGGCAAATTGCGGACAGATGGTCTGTGAGTGGGTGCGATTGGACCGACGAGCGCACGCATGCCAGCCTGCGCGTACGGAGGTACGACTTGTTTGCGCTCTCGAGGCAAAGAGAGGAAGGTGCCTCAGGGCCCTTGTCAAGTCGGCCCTATACAAAACTACTGGATCGTGAGACTGAGCGAAGCTTCGGTGAGGAGGTGGAGGCCCTCAGTAAAAAGAAGCGCGCTCGATTCGAAAGTAATATGGAGAAGAAGCAGAAGAATTTGTAAAGAGCTGTCTCTCCCTACGTGTAAATCCTTCATATATATATATGGGTGCCGGTGGATGTTTGTGTTTGTGTGCGTGTGTGTGTGTGTGTCTATGGTTCCCGTGATTGATGTCTTCCAATGTTGATTCTGGTTTCCCCACTTTGCTTTACTTTACTTTGTTCACACAAACCCACTGGGATTTGTGCTTCCGCATGCATGAAACACTCCCGCCGTCATCGTTGCTATTTGCAGAGATAAGACTGTTTTTGGCGTAGCCGCGTGTCCATGGAGGCGGATGCACCGCAACCCGCAGTCAAGTTTATCTTGCTTTTGCTCTTGGACGGGCGATTATGCTGCGTCTCTTTGGCGGACGGGGAGGTGCGCTGGGAAACGCAGCTTCCCGGGGGTCCACTTTTTCACTGTGGGCCGAGGCATCAGAGTAAGCGAGAAAAGCGACTGTGGGCGCAGACCCCTTCTCGGGTTGCATGCAGAAGCTGTCGGAGCATGTCAATCGGCGTCAGCGGAACGGGAGACCAACCTGAAAAGGCGTTGGGAAACGAACTCACAGACTGTTCGCTTGTATTCATTCCTTCTGAGCTGACAAAAGATGACATTTCTCTGATGCAGTGGCATTTCTTTGTTACATCGAATCTCGCTGACAAGAGGTCCGTTTGGGTGCCGGCGGAGGAGGTGCTTGAGTGCTGGAATGCCTCCGCGTGCCCCAGCCACAGGGCGTTGGACTTGCAGCAGCGTGCGACGTCACACATGGAGTTGGATTTCTTCTCGGGGAAGCTGCTGGTGAGCCTCAGCGCCGAAGCGAAGCACATCGACGACAAGGAGGATACCGTGTCTAACGAAGTTTCATCCACACGTGTCATACTGCGTCGCACTGACCACACGCGAAGTATGGTTTTTCCACCACTGCAGGCCACTTCACACCCCACCGTCGACTCCTCCGTGGAGGCCGAGGCAGAGGAGGAGGAGGAGGAGGCCTCTCGTTCTTGGTACGCCACGGCTTCGACGGTGGCGCTTGACGTGCTAGACACCTCCCTGGACGCTGCCTCCCCTTCCAACGCTTGGCTGCACGCGGAGCAGCACTCGTTTTTTATTGAACAGACTGTAACACTGAATGGAGTCATCTCTTGCCTCCACGTCGCAGGGGGGTCTGAGGGAGTTGCAAAGCTGCAACTGACAGACTTGAAGTCACCTCTAGTTTCCGCACAGATTCTCTGTTGGGAGCCACTTACGGCGGCCTCCAATGGTGCTGACGGCACCTCACAGCTACGTTGTCAGAAGATCCCTGTGGTCACTTCCTGGGGGCACGTCGATTTGACTCCTGGCTCCATCTGGAGCTTGCAGGGGCGCGATGGGCACGTACAGGAAATCTCAGGCGTATTGTATGGCAATGGGCGGATTCTATTTGCAGAGTGTATTGCACCGAAGAATGAGGTAGCTTCAACCTCCACTGGATCGGAAGCAGCTAAGTCACCAGGACTGGAACCTTCGTCTCCGCGCCTTTCGATGACGCATGGAGCCGAGAATGGGCATTTCTTTCCGGGCTACGAAGACTCAAGTGAAACGGACTCCTCCGCGGCAAGTGGTTATTCCGGGAACGCAATAGTTCTTCACAACAGCTCCGCAGCTTTCCATAATGGCACGGACACAGGAGCACCATTTCACACTGGCAATGAAATTTCCTTCTTTGATGACAACTTTGAGGTTATTACGCTTTTGGGTCGCGGGGCTTCCGGTGCTGTGCTACTCACACAACATCGCCTGACTGGTATTTTCTATGCTGTCAAGGTGATGCTCATGCGGGATTGCTGTAGCAAAGATAACGCACTTCGTGAGGTGCGACTGCACGCCATCCTCCACCATCAATACCTTGCGCGCTACTACGCGTGCTGGTCCGAGGCTCTCACCCCATATCGAGTACAGCAGCTTGCTAGCGTTGGACTATGCAAACCAAGTAGTATTCAAGACAAGTCTGCCATCAACAGCTCAGGCCGCATAGGTTGGTTGAACCACGAGCAAGGAGAGCCGTCGTATCTAAATAGCGGCGCGAATTGTTTGCTGCCTCTAGGCACACAAGTTATGAATCACAAACTTATCATGGCACCACCAGGGACAATGCATGGAAGCGGTGCTGGGATGTACCTCGCTGGGGGCGATAGCCTCGACAGCGTTTGTGATTATTCTAGTCAGAAGCATGACGATGATGAGGGTGACGAATGCGGAGGTTCGTCGTTGAACGACATCGCTTCGTCCGTCTCGAGCACCCCGGAGAAGCTGCTGAGTAGTCATGTGATATTTCTTCAAATGGAGTACTGTCAGACAACGCTGGCGCACCGTCTCGGCTCTCGAAGCAGCATTGATCGTGTTGAGAACATTATTATTGCCCTGCAGATCTTTTCGGCGTTGCGGTATGTTCATCGACGTGACTGTTTGCATCGGGATGTTAAGCCCACAAATGTCTTCCTCGATTACACTTGTCAGAGTGTAGGCGTGGACGACACGAGCGACGATGACGGCAGCGACGATGACGAGGACGATGCCGCGTTTGCAGCATCACCCAGCACTAAGATCCACGACGCTAACGCCTTTGGTGACGATGAGGCGCGCAACACGTTGAAGTTGCGGGATCCAGATCTTTCCCCTGCACTTCCTACGCCCATTTTGTCCGCCTTCGAGCTGCTGAAGTCGAATGCCTCTGTGGGTTTACTTGCGATTTATTTGAAACGACTCAAAGACGCTCAGGGGGAGGCAGAGAAAAGGAAAGCCATAAGATCGGTGCGACGGTGGCTGAAGTTTCGCCTAGTGCAGGCTCGTCTTGGAGACTTTGGACTGGCAAAACCGCTAGGCGATCAGCACATTGAGGCAGCTCGCTACTTTGATCGCGGCGCGATAAACACCGTTGGGGTGGGCTCGCCTCTCTACTCAAGCCCGGAGCAGTTAGAGGGGGACGTCTGTACGCCGGCCACTGATGCCTTCGCCGCCGGCGTCCTGCTGGCTGAGATGTATATACAGCCCAAGACTGTGTCAGAGAGACTGGTTGAGCTAAAACGGGCGCGCGAAGGCGTGTTTCCGTGTCCGTCGCTATTGCTAGACTATCCCGAGCTGCAGGTGGTGAAGGGGCTGACGAGGAAGGATCCAAGTGCGCGCATGACGCTTAGAGACGCAGGTCGTTTTTTGGCGAGGGCACTGGATAAAACGCTTTTTACTTTTCTTTCGAGCTGATTCACTTAAAAAATAAAAAGGGGGTGGGGCTGGAGTGAAAAGTAATGGAGAGGGCATGTGCTTGTTTCCATGTTTCTACGTTATCGCTCCTTTCCCTGCTGTAGGAGAAATAGGGAGGGATAGAAGGAGTCGGAAGTTGCGGGTATGTGGATTGGTGCAAGCTTTCACACGTGTTTATTATTATTATTATTTGTTCTTGCCGCCTTTATTCATTCCTTGCGACTCTTGGCATTCCCACCCCACCCTCCTGTTCTTGACGCATTGACTTCCCTTTGTCTTTGGTGCTTCCTTGTTTCATTACTCCCTTTGAGCCGATTGCAACGAGCAGTGCCACTGAACAGAGAAAACACAGCGGCAGGCCGGGGGAGTAGTCACAGCGGCAATGCGGCGCTGGGTCTCCCTCGGCGGTTGGTGTGGCCCCGGCCTCATGCTTTCCAAATTGGGCATCCGCCCTGTGAAAGAACAGCTGCCGTTTGACATGGCGCGGTGCAGCTTCGACGGTGTCATGGAATTCACTCGGAAGGGTTTTGATAGCGGCTTCTTTCCCGGCCCTCTGCAGCAGCGTCCCTTCACTCCCGATCCGGCCTCCATATGGCTGCTCTTCCGAGGCCAGCACACCTGCATTACACACTTTGACATTAACGCGGATGGAGTTGTACAGGAGTTTTTGCGGCGATTTCAGGACTGGGAAAGGATGATTACGTGTCCTACCCGTCCAGTAACCTTCTTGCGTACTTGCATAGCTGAAAATGCGAGCGACGAAGTAGAACTAGTGCCCCAGTGGCACGCAATACTTCGAGAGAAAAGCGCAGGAAGACTTGACTTTCGTACCGTGATGGTGGTGCATGATCAAGGACACATCACAGAGCCGGTGGCGTCGTTTGCCAGAGAAGATGCTGCAGGATTTCCTTGTGTGGTGTGGAACCTTGCTTTTGACAAGCAACTCCCCGTGGAGTCCTCCCTCTTCGATAAATGTCACGACGCTTATGCGCAGATTATTAAAGAGATGAATAGGGATGAGGCGTGGTGCTTGAGCACTTTGCCACTGCGGCTGGCTTCGCCGAAGCCGTACAAGAACCTCTGTCGTGTGGAGGGTGTCCCGGCGCTTCGTGGTTCATGCACGGGGTTCGGTACGACACATGCTGCGGCCTTGGGACGTTGCCTGTATTGCGGTTCCACCGACGGGCATGCGGTGGTTCGTGATGCCTTTGACAGCAGGCAACCGTGGGGCGACGCAGAGGACGCGACGCTGCTCACAAAATGGGTCGCAAACAACGGAGACGAGGTGGCCGCTGTCGAGGCCTCAGCAATGGAGCTTAAACGTGGTGCTAACGAGGTCCTGCTTCGGCTGCGACAGCTTGTCCGCGGCTAGTTTCTGGAATATTATTCATCATTGTGCCTCATTCCTTTTTAAAAAAAATTATTTTCTCCTCTATATCATCGATCTACCTGCAATATATATGAGTATCTGATACTTTATTTTTGAACTGCGGAGGGGCACATGTGAGCGATGTGCGTCGATGTTTATTCCGGTGTTGCAGTTTTTTCGTCACACCGCATGTAATGAGAGTGCAAATTGTTTCTGTACCCTATCGACCTTTTGCTCTGTAATGAGTTCGCTTCTTGGTTTTGTTTGCCTGCTTTTGTTTTATTTTTATTTTTTTGCTGCACCGTAGGTATGGGAGAAGATGATGTCTGAGGATGCGCAATGGCAAAGGCAGCCGCAAAATTATAAGGCTTCGTGGCTTTTAAAACAGGCGGAGTGGCGCTTTGCGTGGGACAGGCGTTTCTTTGTACAGTACGGTCTGCGTTTGGCGTACCGTGTGGATGAGAATGAGGCGGAAAAGAAGGCCGGCTACGTCGTCTCCCTGCAGCGCATCGTGGGCCCGCCGGAGTCACACACCTTCCGTGTGTGGCTAAAGGAAGGGGCCTGTTGGACACTCCGAGCTGAAACGGAGGAGGAGCACCGGGAGTGGACGAACAGCATCGCCGCCGCTCTAGTGCAGAGCGCGGCGGAGGAGCTTTGTAATGTGCGCGAGGGCCTCGTCCTGAAAAAGGGGGCATGGACGGGGCAATGGAGGCAACGGTACTTGGAGCTGGATGAATACCGTCTGGCTTACAGGCTCAACAAGGAAAGCGAGGTGCGAAATCGCTTTGTTATAGTGGCGGCTGATGCATCCGCTGACGAGGGCGGAGAGATGCAGCTGCTCGTAACAACAAGCTGTGGGAAACAGTTTTGGCTGAAGTTTGCGAGTACAGAGCAGTTTAACGACTGGAGGGCTGTGATCATGCGAGGACTGCGGCGAGCCATGCCGTGGCATTGGATGGCGCTTGCCCCCTCACACACTTACGGGTACGCCCCACTTCGGGTGCAGTACCACGCGAGCGCTGCTTGCAGTGGACCTGCTGTGTACTGTTACGGTGGTACGCAAACCTTGTCCCCGCGTCGCTTTTTTGAGGCAGCTAAAATCTTTCTACCCGATGTCTCTCGAGAGACAGTTTCGCGACAACTCTCTTGTATAAAGCTTGCCGGGGAGCACAAATGCACCCCTCTAGAAATTATTCCATATGAGGAGAACGCGCACGCGAAGCTACTACCCCCGCCTTTATTTGGCGCGTCCTTGTGTACGCTGAAAGCAACGGGTGAAGCACCATCATCGTCGTTGCCCAACGCTGGCGCATTAACTCCGCCGTTGGAGTGTCTGCTGCTTGTGGGGGGGCGCAGCGAAACTTGTGTTTTTCGCGACGTTACCGTTGAAGTCTGGTGGTGCGTGCTGCGGGGCTCGTCCTCCAAGTGGCAGCGGGGCTCTTATGATGCAGATGTGCTTCCACACCGTACTTTTCATACCTTGACCGCAAGAAATTCGAGGTCGGCGGTACTTGTTGGTGGATTAGACGACATGAATCGTGTTTGCGCGGAGTGTTTTGTTATTTTCTGGCCTGAAGGTGAGACGGAGGCCTTCGCTACGCCTCCCGTTGTGAAGTTTTTGGGTTACCTTCCAGAGCCTCGTGCATTTCACGTTTGCCTGACGCTGCTCGATGGTTCACTTTTCGTGTTTGGGGGTCGTGGTGTTGTGCATAATCCCGCGGCGTGTGGTCACTTTCTTTCCCTCTCAGGTACAGAGTCGGAGTGGAAAAAGTTGCCCGTGGAGCCGCCTTTGCCTCTGCTGAATCATGTGTGTGCGGCGGAGGCTGCTTCTGCCAGCGGGCAGCAGCGGGTATTTGTGTTGGGGGAGACGTGCACCTCGTACCCCACTCTCAGGCTGTTTCAGCTGACGTTGCAATCCGCGTTTGCTGTCTCAACAGAAGTCTTACTTACCGTTGGCGCCGCCCCACGGCGCTGCTGTGGAGCTACAATGCACCATGCCGAGGGCTACCTTTACCTATTGGGCGGCTGCTACGGTGGCAGCCAGCGCAACGATCAGGGTCAGATGGTGGGGTTTCAGGATCCTGTTCGTATGCTCATTGGCGACAGCGAGGGAGATGGACTCGCCACCACCAACCGTGAATGAGGGAGGTGTGAACAAGTGGCTCAGATGGGGCACACGTTGCTGCAAGGCAAAAAAAAAGGCAATTGGATGAGTAGGAGTAGAAGGACACTCGTGTGTATGTAAGCATGTATATATATATATATATCTGTCTCGTTCTTGTGGTTGCTTCTGCTGTTGCTGCTGTTTTTTTTCACCAGTCTGCTTTTCTTCACTATGG